AGTAGTAGCAGTAGCAGTAGTAGTAGTAGTAGTAGTAGTAGTAGTAGTAGTAGTAGTAGCAGTAGTAGTAGTAGTAGTAGTAGTAGTAGTAGTAGTAGTAGTAGTAGTAGTAGTAGTAGTAGTAGTAGTAGTAGTAGTAGTAGTAGTAGTAGTAGTAGTAGTAGTAGTAGTAGTAGTAGTAGTAGTAGTAGTAGTAGTAGTAGTAGTAGTAGTAGTAGTAGTAGTAGTAGTCATGATTATCATAATTATTACTGTTCTTCTTAGTGTTAGTATTAGTCTTCTTCGTCTTGTTACTACTATTATTATTGTCCGCCTTCTCCCCCTCCCAGGGGAAGCAGAAAAAAACGCAGGATCTCTGCGCGGACTCCTCGGATATCGGAGCTGGCCCCCCCTGCCTGGCGCACGCAGCGGGTCAGGGACGGCGCCAGAGGCGCCGCCAGGGGGGTCCAGCAACCATCCAAGGAATCCACGCGGAGCTCCGAAAGATGAATTCGGGGGCGACGATAGGGGTGTATAGCCCAGGGGAGAGCAATACATGTACTCAGGTGCGCCGATGATCTATGTCGTCGAAAACGCTCCCGGGCGAATACGTGTCATGCCCGCCCCTGGGCTATTCGCCCCTGTCGTCGCCACCGGTGAATTATATGCTCATGACGAGTTCTCTTCTTCGGGCGGAGACAGGTGCAGAAGGCCAGACACCCCGCGACGTGCCCGGCGAAGCGCGAATCCATCTGGAACTTCGAGCCCGCTGCAGCGCGCCAGGCGCGAGCAGAGACGCCGAAGGGGACAAAAAACGCCGAACCCCAACGGTCCCGACGTGGGGCGATGCCTGCCCCGCCCGCAACCTGAGGAAACAACTTCTGGGAGGTCTTCGTAGGAACGTCTGAGGGCAAATCAATCCGATTGGGCGGCAGGTCAACTCGATCAACTAAGCCGGAATAATCCCAGAATTAAGCCCAATTAAGACGAATCAAGCGGAAGCAGGAGACTGCCAAATGAGGCAAGCTTGCGCTGCCCGAGGCGGTTGGTTCTCACAGCTGGACGCGGGGGGGGCAGGGGCCAGAAGCAGGGAGAAGCAGAAGCAGAAGCAGGAGAAGAGGCAAACACAAACACACACACACACACACCCTTCCCTACCTCCCCCAGTCGTCCGACCCGAGAGGGGCGTGGTTGCTCGGGAGCCCCAACTGTCTTAAAGACGGGCCCGTGACGGCAGAAAAGAGAGCGCCCGGGTGCCCCAAGAGGGCCCCAGGGCCCCGAAGACAGCCAGAACGGCCAAGGAGGCCTCCACAGCCTTCAAGACGGCCCAGAGATACCATGAGAAGAGCGCGGGAGGCCCCAGGCGAGGGGCCCAAGAGAGGCCTCGGACCTGGAAGATGACCCTGGCGAAGGGCCCAACCACGTGCGGGCGCGAATACTGCAAGGGGCACGCGAGACGGAGGAGGGGGAGCTCCCTGTGGAGCCAACAGCCCCTGAGAGGCGTGCCCACATAGGGACACTGCCGCCATCCGGGTGCCGGCGCTGGCGCCATGGGTGGAGCCCCCAGAGGTGGGCCACGAAACGTGCGGAGGGTGCGCTCCGCGGGGGCGGTGCCGCCACGCGGCCGCCGCCACGGGGGCGTGAGGGCTCCCTTGGGGGCCACGGGACGTGTCGAGGGGGGTCCCGGAGACGGCGTGGTGCCGCCACGCGGGCCCTGCCGTTGGGGCATCCCAGTGGAGCCCCCCAAATGGGGCCGCAAAACGCGCGGCGGGCGTGCCAACATGCGCGGGGCGATGCCCTGCGAACGCAGCTAGTGGGGCCTGCGGCGCAGCACTGCCACGGGGGCGTGGGGCTCCCCAGGAGGCCACGAAGCGTGTGAGGGGTGCACCGGAATGGGTGCGGCGACGCCTTGCGAACGCAGCTAGCGGGACCTTCTGCGGAACTCCCCATGGGCCGAGCCACGAAACGTGTGAGCGGCGTGCCGCAATGGGAGCGGGGACGCCATGTGAACGCAGCCACTAGGGCCGTCGGCGGAGCTCCCTATGGTGCCACGAAACGCGTGAAAAGTGCCGAAATTGGTGTGGCGACGACATGCGCGAAGCTCCTTCTGGGGCCACGAAGCGTGTAAGGGGTGTGGACATTGGCGCGGCGACGCCATGCGAACGCAGCCACTCGGGCCCGAACGCAGCCACTGGGGCCTTCGGCGGAGCTTCCTATGGAGCCACGAAGCGTATGAAGGGAGCGCCGACATGGGCGCGGCGACTCCGCGCGAACTCAGTCACTGGGTCATTCAGCGAAGCTCCTTCTGGGCCACGAAGCGTTTGAGGGGTGCACCAAAATGGGTGCGGCGACGCCTTGCGAACGCAGCCACTGGGACCTTCGGAAGAGCTCCCTATAGAGCCACGTAACGGTGTGCCGACATAGGTGCGGCGGCGCAATGCGAATGAAGCCTCTGGGGCCTTCGGCGGGGTTTCCTATGGGGCCACAAATGGCGTGAACGTTGTACCGAAATGGGTGCGGCGACGGCATGCGAATGCAACTACCGGGGCCTTCTGCGAAGCTCCTTATGGGGCAACGAAGCGTATGAAGGGGTGTGACGAAATGGGCGTGGCGACGCCATGCGAACGCAGCAGGCCTTCGGCGGAGCTCCCTCTGGGCCACGAAACGTGTGAGGGGTGCGCCGGAATGGGCGCGGCGACGCCTTGCGAACGTAGCCACTGGGGCCTGCGGCGGAGTTCCCCATGGGGCCACGAAGCACATGAGGGGTGCGCCGAGATGTTCATGCAGAGGGCAGACGCAGGGAGGGCTGGGGAAGAGGGAGGAGGGGGGCAAGAGAGCAGGGGGAGGAGGTGAGGTGGAGCGGGGCGCGGTGTTTTCAAAACGAGGACCCAACATGACAGGATGGTTCGGAATCCGCCACCGTGCCGCTGGGCACGGAGTGGGCCGTGTCCTCAGGTCCTGGGCCCAATTCTGTAAGCCTCAATCTCCACTCCTGACGGGTCTTTGAGGGGCCCCGACCCCTCGTTCTCAAATCTTCTTGGGCTTGGTGCGCTCTCTCGCGTGACTTGTTCGGGCTCAAGGGGGACCCATAACCGTTCACCCAGACACGGTAGCAGGATGGGCCGAAGGCCATTCGATAATGAAAGATTTGAGCTGTCATATGTGCGTCGCTTCCCAAGCTGTCAGCCAAACGTGGCTGGCGTCTGGGGTGCTCCAGCCGGTCCCCGATCCCCCGACGGTCTCAGAGGGCCCCACGAGAACGCCAACACGGCCTAGATTCAGTGGTGGCCAAGCAGACGCGGCCACATGCATACAAATGACGTCGTGTGGCCGTAGCTGCGGCCAGGAACTACGGAGCTCGCGCAACGAAGCATGAAAACACCGTGCACGCAGTGCACGTCCGCATGCGTTGAACAATCGATGGCATCAAATGGTGCATGCGTGTTGCGTGAACTGTAATGCTGAAATCCAGCCAGCCCTCTGAGCATAGGTGTACATGATTTAGCGCGCCTCCTCTTTCAACCCGTTCGGGGAGGGACCTACCATTCCCACTACCCCCTCTCCTGGGTCTTGACGGGGGGGGCACGACCAGCCAGAACGCCCAAGATGGCCCAAGATGGCTCCGCGATGGCCTCATATAGCCCAAACTGGCCTCCAAGATGGCACAGGATAGCCCAACATGGCTCAATAGATCCTCCAACATGATTACAGTATGCCCCAAGACCGCCCCAAGGCGGCTCCAAGTGACCACAGAGCCCTCCCATGGCACCCTGAGCTGCCAATATGAGTCAAACACCGAATTCGCTCCAAGTGAGGCTACCTTCTCGCCACGTTGCATCCGAGGCCCCAAACTGGCTCCAAGATCGTCCTAGAGAGCGCCACGAGGGGTACAGAAGGGCCCCAAGACGGGCCCAAGATCGTAGCGAAAGCGTTCCACGGAAGCTCCAAGAGCAGATCGCCCTGGCTCCAGAGGGGCGGCGCTAATTCACGCTGCCGCGCTTCTCGTGAGCAGAGCGATTGTAGGAGAACTGGTGTCAAATGCATGTGGCTAGTCAGGGGTGTCCGTCGGAGGCGCTTGGCCCATGATTGCGCCAGAAGATGATCCAATAGTATTTAAGATGACTTACAAGATCTCATAACATGGTCCGAGCTGGCTCAGAGTGACATAGAGCCAAGACAGACCCAGGGTGGCTCCAGGTGACCTCGGAGCCTCCCAAGCACGCCCTCAAGAGGCCAGGATCCTTCAAAAAACGTGCATGCATTTCAATTGTTTTTGCCTCCTCCCTGTTTCGCTGCCAATGCGTTCCACTGTGCTCCCCGCCAGCCCCAGCCGCTGGCTGCCGCTCCCCGCCGCCCTTGCCAGCGTGGTTCGCCACGGCCGCCCACCGCGCTCTGGCCCTGCGCGCCTGGCTGCTGCTGCCCCCCCCGGCTGCTCATCGTCGAACTCTGTTCGGCGTCTGAGCATCCCGTGTTCCTCTCGGCCGTCCCCTCTTCCCTCTTTGCTCGAGCCCAAAGAGCGCTCCAAGAGGACCCCCAAGAGAGCCCCAAGAGGCAACAAAAATGTAATGCCCCGTTTGGTTTTCTATGTTTTTCGCGTTCTCGCGTTTTCGGGCTTCCAACGGAGCTCCAAGATGGCCCCCAAGAGCTCTTCAAGATGGCCCCAGCGGCCCTCAAATCCGCCCCAAGACGGCCCAAGAGGCCCCTACGAGGGCCCCAAGACGGTCCAAGAGGGCCTGTAAACGGCCAAAGAGGCGCCCGAGAGGGACCCAAGACGGCCCCAAGAGGGGCCCGAGAGGGGCCCGACAGGGGGAACACGAACCGACAATTCGAGCCTTCCGCCCCAACAGGCCTCCAGGAGGCCCCGAGAGGCCCCCAAGAGAGCCCAAGCAGCCCCCAAGAGAGCCCAAGTTGCCCCCAAGGCCCCACGAGGCCCCCGAGAGGCCAACAACGACGCCCCAAGAGGCCCCCCTCCCAAACGGCCCCCAAGAGGCCTCGAAACTGCCTCCAAGAGGCCCCCGAGAGGCCTCCCACGACATCCAAACGAACATCCAAGAGGCCTCTAACCCGCAACCCAAGCACAGTGACGGGATGGACCGAAAGCCACTAACTGTTCAGGAGGCTATCAGATCAAAAGGCCCGCGAAAGACAGCATGATTGACTCCTGGGTCTGAAAGGGCTGTTTGACGGATGTCCTCCTCTTTACTCCACTGCATGCTCCTACGCTTCCCTGATCAAAGAAACTCGCCTAAGCATCGTTTCTGGATGGACTGATGGGGATATGCGGAGCGCCAATCATAATCATGTCTGTTGCAACCACTGCCAGTATTTCACTCTGAGTACCGAATTTTGTGAGAACGCCTAGGGCCAAGGGCCAGTGACGAATTGGCATCAGTAATTCGCTCAACCTGAGTGCCTCAGCTAGTCTGGCTGGTTCCAATATCAGGTATGGCATGGCGTGAGCATCCCACTAACTTAAGGAATGTGCTGGGCTGAAACCGATATTGTATCTGTCCTGCGTGAACTGCGCAGAGCTCCCAACAGGCGACAATGGTTCACGCCTACCAAATGAGCATCCCAGCTAGAGTCCCGCATCGTCACACATGCAGGTGCAAATCAGTGAGACACTAAACACACACACACACACACACATACATACACAAAGTAACTTCGCTTCTGCGAGCGAATCTTACCTGTGATGCGGCGCAGATCAATGCTCCCCGCGTACCGCTTCTGGAGGTCACGGGTTGGCAAAGGAATTCAGACGAGAATCAAAATCATCGCCCTGTTGGTTGACAAAGCTGTCGCTGGGTAGCAGCGGGTCGACCGCGCCGCTGGCCCGCGAGTACAGGAGGGAGAAGCAGCGGAAGCAGAGACGCCGGAGCGGACGGCAGATGCAGCGGCGGGCACACGACAGGGGAAGCCTTAGACAGGCGGGCACCTGTGAGCAGAGGAGCCATCGCATGAAACAGCCCACAACGCAGCTCACGCCACAGCTGACCTGCCGAGTCCAGGTCCTCACGCACCTGCACCTCTTTGGCGGCACGCGGAGGGGGGTATGCGAGAGGGGGGAAGGCTTCTCGGAGGCAGGCTGCTTCTTAGAAGGCGCAGGCCTCACATCTATAGACATGGCCCGCGCCTTCGAAGAAGTAAGGGTGCTTCTCAGAAGCCTTCCCCCCTCCCCCATACCCCGCTCTGCGCGTGTCCAGCCTCTGCATGTACGCCCGCGTCACCTGCTGGGGCCGCACCGCGCCGGCCTCGAAGACCGCGCGGGCATTCTCCTCCACACCGTCTGAGTCCCCAAGCTTCTGCTTCAGCTCTGCGGCCTCGGCACAATCAGTCGGCATCGAGTCGCGACATCGGACCGACTCGGAACGTCCGTCGGATCGGGCCGCACCAGCACGGGATCGCAACCGAACCGGAGCGGCCCCCGACAGGATGCGCGGCAGCGCCAGGCAGGCATCGGCCGCAGCGGGTCGCCCGAACAACTGCATCGGATCGGGTCGGACCAGCCGGAACCAATACTCCAGATTTCGTAATAAAGGGAGGGGGGTCTCATTTCGGGGGGGTCTCTTCCAGGCTATCTTGGAGGGCTTGGGGGGGTCTGGGGACGATGTTTTGGAGGCTTCTCCCACGAGGGGGGGTCTGAAGTGGCTTGTCTTGGAGGGTCCAGACCCCCTCCCTTTTATTACGAAATCTGGAGTACGGTTACGCCGGGGGGTGGTTTGCGATCGGCATCGCTGGGGCCTGGGGTGCACGACACTGTCTTCGTCGGGTCCCCTCGGGGGCGCGGGAGAACTCTGTCGAGGTCCCCGCGCGCCCACGAGGGTGCCCCCAAGGATGTTCCCCTGGATGCCCCCAAGGATGTCCCCCTCCCTTTTATCACGAAATCTGGAGTACCGGATCGGATCCGTTGGCTCGAAGCGGACCCTGCCTCCGGGGGAACCCGGCGGGTACCCATTTAACGACGGCCACTCCTCGGACCTCTCGCAGGGCGCGCGCTCCGACGAGCATCTCGACGCGGATCCGGCCCTGGGGACCCCAGGAGGGCCCCCAGAAAGGAGCGAAAGCGAGGCAAGGGTACTCCAGATTTCGTAATAAAAGGGAGGGGGTCTCAACCCTCCCAGACGAGAAGTTTTCGACCCCCCCCCCGTGGAAGAACCCTCCAAAACATCGTCCCCAGACCCCCCCAGGCCCTCCAAGATAGCCTGGAAGAGACCCCCCCCGAAATGAGACCCCCCTCCCTTCATTACGAAATCTGGAGTACAGGTATTGGTACCTCTTGAGGGGAACGAAGAGTGGCATAAACATGAAAACGCAGAGTTTCGTACGTATTTCTGGGATCGGCGCTGGACCCCCCTCCCTGGCGCGCGGAGCGCGCCAGGGGGCGGCGCCAGAGGCGCCGCCAGGGGGCGCCAGCGCGGATCCGAGAAATCCGCGCGGACCTCCGAGTTGTCATGTTTATGTCGTTCGTCGCTCGCCTTCTTTTTTCCGCCCCTGAGCCTTGGCCGACCACGAGCCCTCGCTCGCTGGAGCCAGCGCTTTCTCGAGGAGCTCGACGACCAGGGACCGAGGCTGTCCGTCCTCGCGCGGGCTGCCCGACCGGAGCAGCTGCGCGAACGGCACGCCCCTCGGGCCGCACCCCAGCTCGGAGATGCGCGCCGCCCAGTACCGCTGGTCCATGAGGAGGATCCCGCTGGTGATGACGGGGATCCCTGGGACGCGCAGAGACACACTACAGTACTGTACGTCCGCCCTGGAGGCGCGCGCCCGATCCGAACAATGTAGTATACCCATCTTGTAGCACATCGTCTCCCGAGGAGCGTGGCCAGAAAGCGCCCGCCACGGCGCCTGTACTATATAAAATCCCTCGGTGCGCCCGCGTCGCGCCTGGGAGAGCGACGATGACACGTAGCACCACCAGCAGGTGTTGGGGTGCCGCTGGACCCCTGGCGGACCCCGAGATCCAGGCGCGCCGCAACCGGGCGTTCTCGCCCAGCTTCGGGGCCCCGGACCCTCGCGGACCGATGCGGCAAGAGCAGAGCCGCGGAGAGATGGGTTCCAGTGGCTCTAGTCGCGATTTCGGGCGAAGCCTCAACTCTTCCGCAGCGTCGGATCTCGGGGGATGCGCTCCTTCCCCCGACCCCCATCCCAATCTACCTCGAGCGCTGTGAGCACCTGAAGCCGCGCGACGTCTCCAGTCTTGTCTTCCAGAAGCCCGTTCCAGGTCGTCGAGCCCGCAAGCAGATCGCCATGGGGCGCAAGAAACAGACGGGCCCAAGAGCTCCGAACTGCCAGGATCCCAACTTGACGTCCCTCCAGGTCCTGACGTCGCTGCTGGGGACTCGCAGCTGCGCCTGCGCGTCGGCCGTGCTCTGGGGACGGGGAGAGCCTCTCGTGGGCTGGCGTTGGACTTGGAAGGCTGGGCGGGAGGGGCCGGGGCGGGACTTCGGAGAGGAGGCTTGGGCGGAGGGAGATGCCGAAGTGCAGCGCGGTGCTGCGGGAGGGGAGGTGGAGGGTTGGCGACGATACAGTCGGACTTGATTGGACAGGACGCGCGAGAGGACACACGACCCTTCCAAGGGCCACATTGCCACAGGAATGTAGGAGGCATGGGTCGCGAGATACAGGACAGGAGGGGACTCTGGATGTGGGAGGGTCGACCCACTAGTCAGGGCCGACTGCAAGATGACAGCGACTCCCGAGGCGAGCTCCCCCTGTGAGTGCACAGATCTGTGGAGCGCAGGGACGGCTGCCAGAGAGACCACGGCAGGAAGTCGCGCAAGTACACCCCCGAGCCCACGATGGCCGAGGCGGCCTCCCGCGCACGCGCGCGGCCCATCGCGGGCCCCCGCCGGGGAGCGCCACTGAGGGATACGACGGTAAACGATGCTTGGAGTAGCAGCAGCCGGGAGGTCGTCAGAACGGTTAAGAGCTGTTGAGCCCGATTGGGCCGTCGACCCAGATTAGGCCAGATTATACGCCTGGGATGAGGCCGGATCAGGCGGGATACAGTCAGATTCGGCGTAACTCAGCGATATGAAGCGGGACCACTGATACACCAGCGCCGATGCTGAATCTAATCTCCCAAGAGTTGCATCCTAAACTAATCGGGACAACGTAAGACTCGAGTTCGGGGGACTCGGGTTGGCCTGACGGGGCCATCATGAAAATGGCGAGACCCACACTGAAAATGGCGCCACGCCCGGCCAGAGACGGGCGGCGAGCAGCCCCAGAGCCTGCCTAAGAGGCGAGGCGCGGGAAGAACAAACGAAGACGCCGCCCCCGCAGCTCGAGCCACCGAAGTCTTCCGTCCAGGGGCGACGACGGGGAGCGAACGGCCCCGGGGAGAGCACCGCTGCAGAGGCCCAGGGACACACGAAGGAATCGACACAGAGCCCAGGATTCCCCATATGCTTCCACATATCCTCTGGAGCATCGTCTTCCCCCACCCCCACTTCCCATACTTTCCCATATGTCCCTGGGTGTCGACGATGGCTTGTGTCTGTGTGTTTTCCCTCCCCTCCTGCGAGAAGAGGCGCAAGAAGCAAACGCTCCGCCCTCGCAGCCCGAGCCACCGAAGTCTCGTCGGGGGGGGGAGGGGCGACGACGGGGGCGAACAGGCCCAGGGGAGAGCACGAGCACGCGCATCCAGGGGCGCCGAGGGCCGAGGCCTTCGAGGCGAGGCCCCCGGGCGATAAGACGTGGCGTGCCCGCCCCGCCCTCGCCCTCCCTCCTGCCCTTCACGACCGCCCCCCCCCCTCCTCCTCCTCCTCCTCCTCCTCTCCTCCTCCTCCTCCTCCTCCTCCTCCCCTCCTCTCCTCCTCCTCCTCTCCTCCTCCTCCGCCTCCTCCCCTCCTCCTCCTCCTCTCTCCTCCTCCTCCTCCTCCCTCCTTCCTCCTCCTCCTCCTCCTCCTCCTCTCCTCCTCCTCCTCCTGCTCCTGCTCCTCCTCCTCCTCCTCCTCCTCCTCTCCTCTCCTCCTCCTCCTCCTCCTCCTCCTCCTCCTCCTCCTCGCTCTCCTCCTCGCTCTCCTCCTCTCCTCCTCACTCTCCTCCTCACTCTGCTCCTCTCCTCCTCCTCCTCTCCTCCTGCTCCTCCTCCTCCTCCTCCTCCTCCCTCCTCCTCCTCTCCTCCCTCCTCCTCCTCCTCCCACTCTCCTCCTCACTCTCCTCCTCACTCTCCTCCTCTCTCCTCCCTCCTCCTCCTCCTCCTCCTCCTCCTCCTCCTCCTCCTCCTCCTCCTCCTCCTCCTCCTCCTCCTCCTCCTCCTCCTCCTCCTCCTCCTCCTCCTCCCTCCTCCTCCTCCTCCTCCTCCTCCTCCTCCTCCTCCTCCTCCTCCTCCTCCTCCTCCTCCTCCTCCTGGGGGGAGGGCCCCTGCCGCCCGACGAGGCGCCGAGCCTGCGCGCAGCGCCTCCGAGGTGACACCGAGCCCGCCGTGGAGGACTGCGGCGTCCACGCGCGGGAAGAGGCTGCCGAAGGACACGGCGCGGCTCAGCCTCAGGAGCCGCCCCTCGGCCTCGGGGCGTTCCTCCTCCTCCTCCTCCTCCTCCTCCTCCTCCTCCTTCTTCCACTCCTCCTCCTCCACCGAGAAGAAGTAGGTCGACTACAGAATTGCTTCGCCCCGCCATTGTCTGTGCCGTCGAGTCTGCGAGCAACAAGTCTAAGGAGAGTGACCGCAGGTCTGCGGGGCATTCTGAGTACGCCTCGCAGACTGAACGAACAAAATCCAGTTTTGAGGCAAACCGGTTGAGTTGTCGATCAACTACCGTCGGACCTAGGCCAGAAGAACATCCTGCAAGAACATGAGACCCCCCGTCGGCCAAAACAAGCAGAACATCCAAGGGTACCCTCCCCAGGATGCACAAGAACATCCAACAAACACGAAAAACACAAGTAGGTACCCTCCCCCGACCGACCTCGATCTTCTACCTCGGTCCCACGGTACTCGAAGGATCGGGGTCCGAAGGTCGATTTGGGGATCCCAAAACCGTGTGGTAACAGACCGTGCGGTGACCTCGGAACCCCAAGAGACCTCACCGCACGGTCCGTCACCGCACGGTCTTGGGACCCTGGAGGCCCCAGTCGCCCGAGACATCCTCGGAGAACGACCCAAATCCCACAACCGTGCGGCGACCCCGAATCCCCACCGACTCACCACACGGTGTGGTCACCACCCCGCTTGGGGGCCCCCGTTTGGGGGCCCCCGTTTGGGGGTCCCCGAACGCAGGTCTTGGGTCGCAGTTCGCGTCTCCGGCGACCACTCGGGACGATCTGGGCAGTCCTGGCGAGGCTCTCGGCGAGGCGCAGCTGCTGGAGCGCACCCCGAGGCCGGAAAAAAACGCTGGGAGCCCACGACCACGCCCGAGCACGTCGAATACCCCGGCGCGGCCGACGCTGCTCGAAGCATATCGGGGTCCGAAGGTCGCGGCTCCACGGGTCGCCCCGCTCCGCGCCCCTTCGCGCCCCGGGGGAGGCGCGGCCGCGCGCGCGAACGGCCCTCCTCGCCGCCCTCCTCGCCGCCCCCGCCCTCGCAGCCCTCGCGCCCTCCTCGCCGCCCTCGCCGCCCTCGCGGCCCTCGCGCCGCCCTCGCGGCCCTCGCGCCGCCCTCGCTGCCCCGAGCTCGCTGCCCCGAGCTCGCGCCGCCCCCGCGCGCAGCCGGAGCCCGGAGGGCAGGGCGCGGCGGCTCCGGCCCAGGCCGCGGCGCGCGCAGAGCGGAGGCCGCCCTGTGCGCCCGCGCGCGGGTGGCCTGGAGGTGCGCTGTGTGATGGGGCCCGAGGACACACAGATAAAGACACACACATAAAAAAAGATTCCCCCTATTTTCCTAGATGTTCTGGGTTTCTGTCTTCCCGCCCACTTCCCATATTTTCCTATATTTTCTGGGGGATCGAAGATTAATTGTGTCTGTGTGTTTTTTTTCCTCCTGACTATGGTTGCCAGCCTGGAGCAGGTGCCCATCCCTGTGAGTGGCGCCGCCTCGCCTCGATGCCGCTCTCGAGGCTTCCCTCGGTTGCTGGGGGCGCAGCCCCGAGATTGCCCTCGCCTCCTGGAACGGCAGTTTGAGGGAGAGGGACAGGTTCGAGGCTGGTTATCTGGGGCGCGCCTGGCCCAGGTCCTGGACCGCCTCGCGGCCCCAGCTGAATTCGCCTCGAGCTCCTGGCCGGAACACGCCCCAGGACAGGTCTCGGGAGTGGACTCCTATGGATTCTTGGGACGAAAGATGCCCAGACTCCCCCACCACGGGGTGGGGGCATCACGACCGGAAACTGTGCAAGAGGACGCATGCGAACCCTACCCCACCAAACCCCTTTGTGGTGGGGCAGGGTTCGCGTGTAGCCACCGACTGTTTCCACTCTTCGGCCACCGACTGCTTCCACTCTTCGGCCTCTGGGGGGGCCTTCCTCGGCCCCGGGAGCGTCCGACAGCTGCTGGCAACGAGTAAACCAGTCTCGGCCAAGGGGGCGAGATCCCCGAGGGCCAGGCAGCGCCAGAGGGGGGCCGCAACTGACGAGGCCACCACCTCA